CTCTAGAGTACTGCAGGGAGTACCACGATGACCTGGCCAGTGTGGCATCTGAGACCGAGATGCTGCTTATCCAGAGAGAACTGAAAAAACATAACATCGCTGAACATGTCTGGATTGGTTTGCATTTCTTCCCTCTGGTTGGACAGGCAGGCTGGCTGTGGGTGGATAGGCAGGAGATGGACTACGAGGCCTGGGATGAAGGGGGGAAACCAGCATGTCCTGATCCCAGGATGGAGTGTGCAGCCATACAGGTGACAGAAGGGACTGAGGGTGTTTGGGGGGCTCATGACTGTGAAGAGAAACTTAATTTTGTTTGCTACTGAGGAAATATGCTTTGCAAAATCAATTTTAAATATTCATTTTTGTTACTATAGTTGCTTGGTAGTGTCCTTTGTTCATTGTTCATTTTGGTCCTTGATGTGAATTTCTTGTCAGAAGTCTGGTAGCATTGGGGTTCAACTCTGTAAAATGAAATAATAACAATATTTTTTTTAATGTGATGCCGTTTGAGATTATCCTTTTGTTTGCATGCAGAGTGAACCCACACAATTTGCAGTGACCAGAGTTATGTGAAACTCTGCTTCTCAAAGAGATTGAATTCCTCTGGCTCTACTTTATCCAAAAGTAAAATAAAAAAAACTGGATGTTAAATAATACAGAGGTTTAAAACAACGCGTTAACGAGCTAACCGTCCTAACACGTTGACGCTGTGAAGCCCCACGCACGTGGCGATTCACGATAACTTGCTAACGGAGATTATCCTCATTAATGTGGTTATGGCGTTAACGTCAGCATGCTGACAGCACTAATAATTATATGTATAATTAGGTATGTAGTCTATTCAATCTGACTTATCAATATAATGAATGAGCAATGTAGTCTAATCAATTAAATTCTTTTAATGCCTGTATTTTTTTGGCATGATTCACCTTTGACCCTGGCGAACTAGTCACAGTGTGTGAGGTTTCCTGCAGGAATGTGAAAGACATGAGTAAGACATCATCGACCCATCACCAGGCATGATATTGAATAACAGAAGCACTATTGAGTATATTGTGATTGACAAACACTGAGTCATCAAATGGACATACATGGTGAAGTTGCATTACCATCAGCGGGGAGATCATAGGTTTTAAATGTTATATATAAAGCTAAGAAGTGAGCAAAAAACATGTGAAGCACATTCCAGGGTCCTTAATTGCAAGAAAGGATTAAGCTAGGTGGCTTAAGCTGTGTTTAAAAAAAATCTATTTTCTGATTTCAAAATGCTTAGCTGTGTCTCTAATAAAACCTCTGTAACTTTGCTCTGCTTCACTTCAACAGCATCAGGTAATGTTCATATGTCGATTATTGGTTTTCTTCCATTTTTGATCTACTGCAGAATATTTTTAAGGGGTTATCTGCTTTAAAAAGCCAGGCCTGGAAAATCTCATGATCATGTTTTTCTGTGTTTTATACTCAGCTACTTTGACACAAAAGGATCTGCTGTGATGCTTGCACGTCTGGCAAAGTGTCAGCTTTGTTTTATACATAGATATAAAATATGTAATGATAAATTATCAGAATTATAATATTTCTGACTGTCTGAGTCAAAATTGAATCGAAATTGAATTGGGGATCGAATCGAATCTGGACCATCGGAATCAAATCAGTTATAGAAATCAGTGACAATATCTAGCCCTATTTATAATGTCTGTTTAAATGCTTGTCTGTGATTATTTTCATGTTGCCTCGAAATAAAATATCTCCCTTTGCTGTTACATGAAACTTCTGCATGTGTGTACATGGAGAAGTAAAGTGTAAAATGGACACTCACTTGTCTATTACATATTTTGCAGTGATTCTCGGGTTAACTAAGTGAGACATACAGAAAAATATATTAACATGTGATGGATTTAATGGATGATCATTTTAAAGTACAACATAGAAAAGAAGATAATGTAGTCATTGTAATGAATGACTGAAGTTTGCTTTAAACCATTTGAATAAAGGTTACACAGAGAGAGAGCGCAGAAGGGTAAGGCTTAGTATAGAAATACACAGTCAAATCATACAGTGTGGACATCAAGGAGGGGAGGAGAGAGAAGAAAAAGAACGATACAAACACCA